ATGCCTGAATTCATCTCAGGCTGAGATGGCAGACCAAAAGGTCTGTACAAGTGCTCTCCCAAACATAAAATCTTTTCCAAAGCTTGCCACATCTGGTTGATGCTATTTACATTCCTTTATTGAGCCTACATCTTCTTAAGCTTCTTAGCAGGTAAATGTTGAACACTTCTGCTTCATGGTCAGTATGGAATCAGAGGCCATCATATAGGCAACTGAATTGTCTGTTTTCTTCCATCTTTTTCCATGACTTTACTGCCTCATCTTGATTTATAAGCAAAACCTGGAAAATCTATAAAATGAATGTTTTGTGGTTTATCTAGAAATAATACAGAAAATATTGCTGCTATTTTTGGTGGAGAAATTTTGTATAGTTTATTTCAATCTAAATAAAATGTGAATTTTGTTTAAAAAGGTTTTTTTTTCCCAATTTTAGAGGGAAATTGCAGGCCATTGGCTTGATTGATGAAGGGATTTTGTTCCTGTCCTGGATCCTAGTGAACCTCTTTGGGCGATAGTTCTTTTGGAATGTGTCAGTTTAAGCCATGTGTTACCAGTATGGAAGTTTAAGTAGCCTCAGAGAGATTGAATGACAAGCATTTTATTCACTTCAATTCTAGGGCTAGTGTTACTGAACAATGCTCACTTTTAGATTGTTGCCCTTTATTTCTTACAAAAATATTCTGTGTTGTCCTTATCTGAAAGCCTGCTTATTGATGCAGTCAATAAGAATGGATATAGTTGGGCCATGAGTTCATTGATGAAAACTTCTTAATTTTACCTTTTCATTAACTTCCCTGAAAGTTTCTATGATGTCAACATAAAAAGTACAGTAAATTATTTACAAGTCACTCACAGCACACAAGCCTTTGAGAATTTTAAGTCCTGACAGAAACCTTCCTCAGCTTTTGTTTTGTGTGTGTAACAAGCCAGCCTTTTACTCATAACCAAACATGTCTGCTTTTCCCTGGACCAAACCTCTAACTTACAACTTTAGAAATCCAAAGAATCAATACAACATTTTTCAGTACACATTACTGCACAAAACCCAAAGTGTTAATATCTTAAAGAGATTCCCAGACGCAGGCTGTGGGATGCAGGGTTATGACCCCATGGAAAGCTGAGCTCTTCAGTCACTGTTGTCCATCCACCACGATCAATCCCAACAGGGACAAAGTATTTCCAGGTTTGAGCTAAATACTTGTCAAGGATCATTGCATTTGCCTTTAAAATGTCTGTCACAATTCTGCCATGCTTAATTATTTTTTTAAATCCATATTTTCAGATCATTTTGTTTTTAGAGTATATTTGCGTTTTTAACAACCCTTGATGAGCTTATTTCATCAGTAGCATAAACCTAATTATGAGTCACACCAGGGGCTCTACTGCTGTGGGTATTTCTTTGAATTTGCACCAGATTAACAATTGCTGGGCTGTGAGCTGTGTGATCTGCTGCTGCTGCTTTGCTTCAGTTTTGGCCATAAGATTATTTTATCATTTAGGATTTTTGAAGATTGCAGCAGATGACACAACCGTTTTCTCCCATAGAGTAAAAATGTTTTTTTCTTTTCAAACCCCCAAATATACACCTAGTATATCTCTGTATCTTTTTTCCTCCTCTTTTCACTTTCATTGTCATTTGTCAAATGCTCGTGCAACAGACAAGTTTTCAATGATTAGAATCATAATTAGATTTGCATGGGAAATCTAAGATTTTTTTTATCTCTTTTTGGTGATCCTGTTAATTTTAAATCTCTCCTTTTTTCTCTCTCAATTCTTCATTTTGTATTAGTTTTCCCTCAAATTTCACCATACTTTAACAAAATGTGCCGCTATACCTTTTCCCTCAAGGAGCCCAAATTTTTAAATATCTCATCCAGAGGAACCTCACACAATAAGTTGTAATGCATTCGGTGAATGTCTTAGATGAATAACAATATGGAATGATTAAATCAAGCTCATTAGCATAGCTTCTTTTTTTTTTTTTTGCTTTTTCTATGTTTTTTGAAATTTTTGTACACTACATTAAAAGGAGGTTTTTCCTTTGAGTTAATCCTTTAGGAATTGATTGGGCTTCTTAAATATGAGGGTTGGTTTTGAGAATCAAATTTAGAAAATGTTTTCCTTTATCAGATGTGCATTCTGCCCCAGTCTCTCTTTCCTCCCCTTCTAGACGTCTAGCTGTGCAACTGGAGACCACTTGAGTTCTTACTCATTTAGTATTCTCCCCTCTGTCATAGATGTGGATGCCTCTACTGCCCCATCAAGTTCATTTATCTTAATTTCTACAGGATCCAAAACCCCATTAGCACAACAATTTTTAATTCACACACTGTATATTTCTTGCTCTGTTCAGTGGGGTGGAATGTTTTACCCACTGTAACAACTGCTTTGCCTCTCTTTTTACTTCTTTGCTTTCTTTTTCTATTAATTGGATCTTTACTCTTTATCTGGTGTTAGTTTCCTGTTTCTTACATTTAGCTTTGTTTGCTTCTTCATGCTGAGCGCTGTGGATACTGTCATTCAGTGTCTGAGTCTGGTTATCTGCTTGCAAACTATTCAACCCAAAGTTCAAAGGGGTCCTGATGTGAGTAGGGGCTGTGTCCAGAGACAGGAAGCTGACTAACAGCCAGACACTCGAATTCTGGGCAACTGCTTTAACAACAACACTGGATCAAGAAACACCAAGCAGATAGTAAAGCACCTTCCTGGTTGCACCTGGGAGTGTCATTTGGGTGTTCCTTCGGGTGCTGCAGGGTGTCCCTATGCTGTCCTTTCTGTCACTGGTCCCCTTGCCCACCTTCCAGCCACCGTGTACTCCCAGGACTTCTTGCCTGGTGCATTTTATCTTGGAGCCAGCAGACTGCAACCAGAATCTCCTGAAACTATGAGCTAAACTAAACCTTTCAGCTTTACACGTTGGGTGTCCAGCATTGTGTTTCAGCAACAAGCAGCATAACGAATATTCTGTCTCTGCAGCAGCTTTCTCAACTTAAGATTCCTACATAAAACTGTTAACATATTTTAGTTTACATCCACATCTTTAAATAGTGGTGCTAATTCTTAATTTATGGTCCTCCTGTGAAGATTAAAAAAAATAGAACTCTAAATTCTAGATTAGAGAGGACCACAGTCCTAGGATGCCACCAGATTTCAGGTCTTGAAAATACTTCACTGTAAAACACTCTTCAATTCAGTGAAGTCCAAGGCACTATAAAATTAATGGCAATGATGACTATGCCTGAATGTGGTGTGACAGTCACACTGACCAAGTATATCGCCTCTCCACTGGATGACAATGCGAAGGATCAAAACTCTTAAAATTTTACTAATAACTTAGCACTGACTTTTCTATACTTTTGTTCTGTTTAAGAAATTATAAAATGACTTAAATTGCTAAAACGCTTTCTGGTGTTTACCTATTGCAGTATGAAAAGTAACCCTAAAATGTATGAGCTTCAAATAAAATAATCAACAGAAAAGCAAAAAATAAAATAAAATAAAATAAAATAAAATAAAATAAAAAATAAATAAAGTGATATCTCTACCTCTTGGCTTGCTTTGCAGTCCCCCCCCCCTTGTTAGCTGGACTCACATCTCTGTTCTCCTCACCAGGTATTCTTTCTTTCTGGGGGTCCTTTCCCTTGGGTTATAGCTCAACAGTTGTTTTCAGAAGAAAACAAAACTCAATGTGTAGCTCTTATCCGGTGTGTCCCACTTTGAAGGATCATATGAATGGGCACTCTCCAATCCAACATCTGAAAGTTGTTGCTTTGTGCATCTTGGCAGTATTCACAATTTTTACTACAGGGAGATAACATAAGAAGGCCTACTCTCTTATGACCAAAGATAGAACTCTAAAATTTCATTCTTTTAATTTATTATTGAAAATTTATAGAGTTAGCTGATTTAAAATGTATAAAACTGGGTTGACCAGATAGCTCAGAGGATTAAAGCATCTACTTAGACAGACTCAGGGACCGGAGTTCAAACCCTGAGTTCAATCTGTGTGGTGAGACCCTGTAGACCCTGTACTAAAAAAATACATTAAAAAAACAAGAAAAAATAAAATAAAATGTATAATCCTAAAGTAAAAATACCTTCATTGTTCAGATAAATTTGAGGAGAATTAACATATTTTCATTGACTTTTTCCTTCTGTTAAAATGATTTATTACATTTTTGGAAACATTTTTCTTGAATGCTTTAAATTTTTATAAATTAAATATTACACAACTTATGTTGTATCTATTTTAAAATGCACTATTTATACTATCATTTTTAAATTTGTTGTTGGCACATAGACATGAAATTAGTCTTATGAAATTAATTTAATTTGTTATTAATTAGATAGAATTTGATATCAGAGCTATACTGCTGGATTCTAATTATGATCTTCATTTAGAATATTTTGTTTTCATTATCATATCATCTGATGTAAGATTTTTTTTTGGCTCCGAATGCCTTCAGGGTAGGTTTGGCTGGCTTGAGTTCTGGGGATCAACCACAGCAACCTGAGCCTGACTGCTTTGTTGAAGCAGCCACTTAAAGAACTGAGCTAAGGGGCAGGACCCCAAGAATAGTTATTAATTACTGGTTTAATCTGTACAACATTTATTTACTTACGCACTGTTACATATTATATCTTGCTGTACATTATCTGAAGCAATAGGCCTAGATCTGAGACTCTTATTTCAGTACTAATTTTAATATTTGATTCAAAAACAATCATGGATTTTGAAACCTTACAACTGAAGAAAATAGATTCTAGTTTTAATTCAGCTTTTTATAATTTTATGATTCTCGGTTTCTTTACTTTTATAGTAACGTGGAATATGTCCATTTTCTTTCATATCATATCATATTTTAAATCTAGAGTTCAGTGTTTCAGAGTATCTGGTCTATATAATACTAGCAGAAGTCAAGATAAGCCTAAAAGTCACTTCTGATGGGAAGAATTCTAGCTGGCATTGAGTCCACTAACAGCAGTGATTTCTCCCTCAGGAACTGGTGCGCTTATGTGCACACCAGGCTGTCTCCCACTGCGATTCTGGACAACCGGCTCTCTTTTGTTCCAAGTGGAAGAGGGCCCTGTGCCTGGACCAGCGGAACCTGTGCTCAGAGGTGGGTACAATTCCTGAAAAGAGACATGGCCTGCTCCAGAATCACTGTGGCTGAGGGTGTAAATTGGTCATCCCAGGTAGATACATGTAATAGGGTCAAGAGAGTGTCATCACATTAGATTGGATATGTGACCTTTGGCACATAAAATGCAGGTGCTGATACTTGTATCATAAGATTGTTTTCAGGATCACATGAGGTAATAGACATTCTCAGCCTATTGTTCTGTTCAGTGTAAATGTTCAGTAACTGTTAACTCTCATGCGTATTTCTGTTTTATAGTCATCCCTGCTTTTATTGCACCATCTTATCAACAATCCTATACTTTAATTCCTTATGAAATATATACACAGTTTTGAAGGCTTATTGATAATTCTTTTCATGCTAGGTCAAAGAGGAGTCCAAATGTAACTTGGCTCATATTCTAGCAAATGGAAAGCCATTCATTGTAATTAGCACAGTGAAGTGGCTAAGTGGGGCCTTTCCTCCTGCATTTGTTTTAGTGACTCTTATTATTTGGCTTTTGTGTTTTTGTCAAATCTATACCATTGTGCTAAAATGTAGGACCCAGCACTTGAAATTTCCTCTGAATTCATGTAGGCACAGTCGCTCAGCTGGAGGTGTTTCTGAAGAGCCTACAAGACAGACTAGGATCGTTATTCAGGCCAGGGTGGCTAATGCTATGCAAATTGCCATACAAAGAGCTCAGGAAGTGACCTGACACATGAGCAATCTGGAACAGTGCACAGTAAGGACACATAAAACCAAGGTGTTTCTCAGCCCCGTGAGGCACAGATAAGGTTCACGGTCTGAGAACTAAGCACATCTTAGGGATTTTTGAGGGATGAGCTCCACTCCTGCTTTCCCCATTGACTCCCATTGTGGCAATTTCTTTGTCAGCATGACACAAAAAATATATTGGGGTTTTTTCCTTCAGTAAAGAAAATTTTACCACAGTAACTCTTATTTTTATTGTCGTTCTGGATTCAAGGTGAGTTTATCTTTTTTTTTTTTTTTAACAAACCAAAGTATCTTTTTAAAATGTGTTATCTTTCTATAATTTGGATAGTTTTCTTCATTCACCCCTTCAGTACTTATCAGTATTTGCTGCTTTGTCTTGTGTTGCTGAGCTGCACTCAGCAGGTATTCAGTTTGCAAAGCAGGAATACTGACCCCACCTGTGACCCAGCAAGCTCGGAACAAAGTCCATCCAGACTGCCTTACCTCTTATTTGGCTTCAGCAACTGGACCGGAGAGATTTCACTGGGCAGAGTTATGTGTCAGAGAAAATGTAGGTGAATAATTTAATGTGCTTTCAGACATGGAGCGAATCTGATGGCTCATTTTGCAACTGAGGAGTAACGCTGGATATATTAAGTTACTTGTCATGTTACAGCAGACGTGGAAACCCCAGAATCCTAAAGCCTGGTGTGCGGTCTCGCACTTCACTTGGGTGCGCAGGATGATTTCTATGGAGGGGCTGTGTGTGTGGCTAGCCTGTACAACACGTGTTACATTTTCATTTCTATTACTTTTAGGTATAGGGCTTTGGACAAGTCTGCTTTTCAGATTCCTCATTAGCAAGTAACATTAGTTTATCATAGAACTAATATGAGGATTAAGCAAAGTAATGTGTACCTATTTCATAGACTCATTTGATAAACATCATGTATGCATAGAAATGGCATGACAAAATTGCATGTATGACTTACATTTACATACACACATTACATACAGAGCCTGCAGTTTAGTATTATTCACTAATTATAATCATGATGTTAAGATGTTATAATTCACTTCTGTTCTGTAATTTTGTCTCAGTAATAATTCTCTCTCTCTTTATCTCTGAAAAACTTAATGACAGAAATAGTAAATAATATAATTTAAAAATTTGGAAGATGTAGTAGAGATTGAAAATGATAGTAGTTATCCTAATTTTAGTAGGATAATATTCACCAATATCTCTTTTTTTCAAGTTATCTGATGGAGAAAATGATCTTTTTAAGTGTAATAATATAGGAAATAATAAAATCAAAAGAAGAAGTTATGAATTTCTTATGTTATATTTGCAATGTAAATATATCCTTGTAAAATAAAAAGATATATTTATATACAGTATAAAATGTATTTGTAGGGCTGGTGAGATGGCTCAGTGGTCTAAAGCACCTACTTAGAACAAGCTTAGCAAAGCACAGGGACCGCGGTTCAATCCCCCAGCACCAC